AAGGGTTGTGGGTCAGAAAAGAAGGGTTGTGGGTCAGAAAAGAAGGGTGGTGGGTCAGAAAAGAAGAGTGCGGGGGTCAGAAGAAAAGGGTCCGGAAAGAAGGATTGTGGGTCAGAAAAGAAAGGTTGTGGGTCAGAGAAAAGAAGGGTTGCGGGGGTCAGAAAAAAAGGGCTTGTGAAAGTATTGGATCACACGGACAGCACCGTCATTCAGATGAAGAAGAGAGGGACGCAGAAGGAGAAAGAATTTGCTTCCTCTCGGTAGAGCGTACCCGGGGTGTATGAGGTCACGCAACACGGGCTGTGAAGAAAAGAAGAGTTGTGGGTTAGAAAAGAAGGATCGTGGGTCAGAAAAGAAGGTTTGTGGGTCAGAAAAAAGGGGTTGTGGGTCAGAAAAGAAGGGCGCGGGGGTCAGAAAAGAAGGGTTGCGGGGGTCAGAAAAAAAGGTTTGTGGGTTAGAAAAGAAGAGTTGTGGGTCAGAAAAGACGTGTTGCGGGTCAGAAAAGAAGGATGCGGGGGTCAGAAAAGAAGGGTTGCGGGGGTCAGAAAAAAAGGTTTGTGGGTCAGAAAAAAAGGATTGTCACGGAATGCTGGGGAGTCAAAAAAGAAGGGTTGTGGGTCAGAAAAGAAGGGTTGTGGGTCAGCAAAGAAGGGTTGTGGGTCAGAAAAGAAGGGTCGTGGGTCAGAAAAGAAGGGTCGTGGGTCAGAAAAGAAGGGTTGTGGGTCAGAAAAGAAGGGTTGTGGGTCAGAAAAAAAGGGGTGGGTCAGAAAAAAAGGGTGCGCGGGTCAAAAAAAAAGGGAGCCCGTCAAATAAGCCTCTTGCTTTTCTTCGAATCGTTCATCAGACCTTGCCCCATACGACTCCTCCAGCAATCTAAGCACTCTGTTGAGTCCACCAGGCTCTCTCATCTCCTCGATTTGGAGTTGGTTCAAGATTTGCCGTGGCTCACCCTGGCAACTGAGGTAGATGAGCATGGAGAGTTCAGCATCGTCCAACCTGTATAATGCTCTCTGAGCCTCAATCGTTCGCTTCCACTCTTTGTAGTGGGTTCTTGAACCTTTGAACATCTCGAGACGAACTTGGCTCAGGGACGGTTTGGAACGATCCTGCTGCTTGCGGGCCTGCTGAGAAAGCATGGCGCGTAGCTCACTTGTGCCTGCCGTAGAGGCCGCCGAACTCGTGCGATTCGAGCTGGCCGGAGATGAAGTCCTGTTGGACGAGGCTCTGCCTGAGGCTCTGCCTGAAGGAGGATCCGAAGGTGGCGGATCAGGCGGACGCTGCCGCGGATCTCGGGGATTCCGCCTGGGCTGTCGTGGCGGTTCCACTGGTGGATCGACCTCGAAGTTCTCCTCCTCCTCGCTCTCTTCCCCCTCCTCATAGGTGTAGTCCGAGTACTCTTCATACTCATCTTCATCTTCATCTGGAGGATCGGGACCGGGAGGAGCCGGCTTGGACTTCTTTGCAGCTGGCTTCGAAGGTTCATCCTTGGCGACGCCACTAGGTCGCGCCTCTTCATCCTCATCCTTCTTCTCTCTTTCTTCTCTTTCTTGTCGCCACGGGCTGGCGAGCTCTTCGTCCTTGCTTCCTTCTTCTCCTTTCTCGGCTGACCGACTTGTCTCCTTCTTCTCTTTCTTATCCTTCTTGCGGTCAGCTGACTTGTCACCTTTGGCTTCCTTCTTCTCCTTGGACTTCTCTGGACGCTCCTTCTTCGTCTTGTCCTTCTTCTCTATCTTGGGGTGTTCCATGGTCGAAGCCTGAGGTGATGCTTGAGGTGATGAGGGCATAGCTGGCGGTGTCTGCTCATGGCCTTGTCGAGGCAGATACTATGAGCCATCCATGAATGCCGTTGGTTCGTAGGAAAGCCATTGGGCGCCAGTCCAAAACATCCAATGGCCAGTGGATGGAGACCTGTACCAACCAGGGAACTGTTGTGACCATCCAGCTCGGAAGGTGTTCGTCGGGCCATCTGTATCTCCTTGGCCAGGGGTTGCATCCGTGGCATAGGTCGTATGACCTTTCCCAACACTCATCCCTTTCTTGCCACCGCCTTTGGAGCCCTTGCTCTTCCCTTTGTCGTGTGGTGCTCGAGCTCGTGGGTTGTCACGTCCACGGCCTTGTCCTCGACCACGATGCCGAGAACGACCTCGGTCTTGCTCCTCCGTGGCCCTGCCACGCTCCCTGGCTCGGCCAGGGGTGGAGGCGCTGCCTCTCACTCCCGCCTCCGGCGGTGGGGTGGCTCCGCCACCGGGGGACTCCGCCCCCTCCCATGTAGGAACCGGGATGGCCTCCGGCGCCGTGTCGGCCATCCGATCCTAAGGCCCAGGTGTCAGGGCCGCCCTCGCTGTTCGAGGGCTCCGCTACCAATGCGGAGTGGTATGGGCTCAAAACAAACGGCGCTGCCAGCGAAAGCTCTGCTTTTGCGATCGCGGCTTGATCAAGCTTCGGTATGTACCGACATGCATCACAACACACCACCCTGTACCAGCAGTCACTTTCCACATTGGTGACAATCTTGGTGACAAATCATCGTGGTGTCGTTCATCCAACAACGATTCACCCCCCTCATGACATGAAGTCGGTGTCGAAGTCTCTTCGGGAAAAGAAAAGAAACAATGCTCCGGTATCTTGGGCACATGAAGAAGTCCTCCGTGAGCTCTTCTGGAGCCTCCCATCGGCAACAAACATAACAAACGCCAACCGTTTCAGCCGGTCCCAACCACCCACAACGACCAGTGACCCTCAACGTATGATCCGAATACCATACAACCTGTTCGGAAAAAACGGTGATTTGACTGAACATGACTGCTTTTGCAAAGGGGTGGCCCTGCTTCTTACTGCGATGTTCCTTCATATGGACAAGTTGTACTTGACTGTCGAGGCCTCAAAGCACTCCCCAAAAGAAGACCTCCCGGATCTCCCACCTGTTGTTCCTGTGCCTCAGACAGCAGTTCGGTCTGTGCCTCCTGACAAGTTGCGGGACCTGAACCTTCTAAACCTTCTGAAGCTGCCTGAAGCTTCTGAACCTTCCACCTGCCTTGAACCCCCACGCCTTCTAAGCCTGGTAGGGTAGGGAATGACCCTGCCGAAGCGCTGGCAGCAACACCAAGTAATCGTTCCAATCACTTCCTCATTCTGCTAAGCTCTCTTGATCGTTACGGAACGCAACAAGATTGCGCTGTCAGGATGAACTCCAAGAAATGGTTCGCAACAGCCTTTGTGCGGGAGCTTTTCGAACATGACTGACTCTGAACTGTAGAAGCTTCACCACTACAGGTTTCAAGGCCCCTTCCGAAAATAGAAGTTGTGTTCCACTTGAGTAGGTGACCTTGGGCTCTGGAGGCAACGGATCCTGCTTGCTAACATTCCAGTGTTCACACCGTACTGTGTTCCTTGCCAACAAGACATTGGCCATAGGCTGTACGCCACAGGTGCATGGTGCATCTCTACATTTCCGAGTGGAGCGGTCGTCCTCTCGTTGACCTGCCCGGTTTAAAACGCCCCGTTTCCGAACCTCCTGGCGCGAACGTTTCCCCCGGTTGTGCGGTCGTCCTCTCTGGAGTGCGCGAACTCACACGAGGCCCCACGGCGGCACTGCGTGGCGAAGGTGTGGCATTGCGTGGAACGAGGCGGGGGCTAGTAGCAAATGCTAGGAGCTATATACTAGTAGCGTCCTTGTTATTGGTAGAAATGGCCTTCAACCTAATAGCGATGGCCTCCACCCTAGTAGCTTCTTGCTACTAGTGGAACATCCACTGCTTTATGGTCCAGTTCCTCCAAGACCTGTTCAGGAACGTCAACCGCTTCTCCATACAATTATTCCATGTGACCTGTTCATCAGATGTTCATTACTTAGTTGAGCGGCCTAGAACCACGGTCAGTGTCACACGCGAACATATGTGCAACCTGACTACATCGAATCCAGAGACCAGAAAAAGGTCTGAAAAAGACATCAATGTAATTAGTAAGGGGACCCAGGGTTCAGAAGCTGTAGACTTCCACAGAGAGGCAACAGAAGAATTACAAAGAAATGGATGCGAATGCAAATTTGAACAAAAGAAGGTGGACACCATTGGATTACGCCGCCTTCTTCCATCTTCAAATCTCTCAAAAAACAGTAGCAAAAACATTTCCTGAGTCGAGTAGAGGAACATCTACGACCATTTTCAGCACCGCTCAAGCTGAAATCAGAGAAAACGGCACCAACGGCACCCTCCCCCGGCGGAGTTCATCGTCCGTTTTGAGTCCACGTGGAGGCATCGCCTGGCTGACGTTGGGGAAGGAGGCGCAAAAGCGCACCTTCCGTCGAGCCAAGGACCTGCCAGTGCGCGGAGTCAAACACAGAAGCGGTAGGAACAAGGCGTAGGAACAAGGCTGACGTCTCAAGAACAACCCAAGAAAACTGTTTGAGGCGTACATGAAATCATGTACAGAAGTGGTTCGCACTTTCGCAACTCAGCAACTAATAAAGAATCCTGTTCATCCACCTACAGATCGACATCATGTTCTACAGCAACTCCGTAGAATCTCTAATTTAATCTCCCGTTCTTGCCTGCCCTATTAAGCTACAGGGCAGTGGATCGGCAACTCGAGGCTGAGCAAAAGTTGGTGACCGAACTCCTCAAGACGCGTTCGTACACCCCATCGCTCCCTCAACCTTCGGTCGAAATTGCTCGAAGCTATCACACCGGGACACCTGAAACACCGCATCATCCAAATGGTGTGCAAGAAATGTGACAAAATGGGGGAGCACAGAGAGCTCCCTTTCTCGAAGGATCCCAAAAAAGAACGGTCTTTTTCAGGCAGTGCGGTATCTTCCGCTGCGGCAGTATCTTCCCCACGCCGGCAGCGGGGTATATACTTCACATGTCCAAAAAGGGATCTTCCACGTCACACCAGTCACACCTCCTCCGCTCCCGCGCCTCTGTGGATCTTCCACCTCCAAAGAGCAGGTTCACTCGGTGAGAAATCCCGGGGTGCCGGGTGTTTTCGGACAGGTCGGCAGGTGGTCCAATCATGATTGCTTCTTCTTGATGTTCTTTCTCCAGATGAGAATGCTTGATAGCCCATCTTCCAGAAGGGGAACAATTAAAATAACACCTCGAGAATTCCATGGAAAAATTGTCAACCAGCGACTCATGAAGGGAAAGTCAAGACTGCTCAATGACATTTCTTGATTCCCAACTGTCAGCTTTGAGTCCCATCAACGTTCAGGAAGACTTCACTCTCTCAGTTGCTACTCAGCATGACTATCGTCGAAACAAGGGCTTGGAGATTAAGCAATTCAGGTGGGAAAGCATCGAGGGAAACTAGGGGCTCCTGGCCATACTACTAGGAGCAAGGACGCTACTAGGAACAAGTGCCTCGCTTCTAGTAACAAGTGCCTTACTACTAGTAACAAGAAGCTACTAGGGGCTCCTGGCCATACTACTAGGAGCAAGGACGCTACTAGCTCCTTCCATCCGATCGAGAGATGTTCCGCGGACCGGTGAAACCGGTTTCGATGCGCTGGTCCCATGCGAAGGCCCAGAAATTTGGTGCCGCCTCGCCAGTACCTGGCTGGTGGGGAGATGGGAAGGACCAACCTCCAAGTTGGGGTACCTCTCCACAGGTTCTCATTGGCATGGTGAAGAAATGAGCATCTGTCCACTATGGCCCATGGGACAACCTGCCATTCTCTGCAAGCTCCACGGCTTGGCTCGCACGAAGTCATAGTGTCATAGAGGAAGAGTTTTGATGTTCAACACTCTTTACTTCGTGGAGGAAGTATCCAGCTTCAACTGTGAGGTGGAGCGTAGCTTTGCTACTAGTAGCGGTGCCCTTGTTCCTAGTAGCTTTATTGTTACTAGTAGTACGGCCAGGAGCCCCTAGTAGCGTCCTTGCTCCTAGTAGCGATGCCCTTTGCTCCTAGTAGCGTTCTTGCTCCTGAAATGGTCTCCCCGCCTCCATAGACCAGTAGCCAGTACGAATACGTCTCTGGTGCCCACGCCCGCAGCTCATCCTCACAGGGCGGTGCACCGTCGTCTTCAGTGGCGCAAATTCTAATTAAATTCTCATTGTTACTACTAGTAAGGCACTTGTTTCTAATAGCTTCTTGTTCCTACTAGTAAGGCACTTGTTACTACTAGCGATGCACTTGTTCCTAGTAGCTTCCTAATGTTGCATGATATGTTGCTAAATTTAGAACATTGCTTTACTAGAAACTGTGGGACGAATTCCACATTTAGCTCCCATGTAATCCTTGCTGATGTGTGCCTCACCAGTCTTTTCTTAACACGGTTGCATTTCAATGTACCACTGGTTGTCCATATCATACCGGCAAAGACATCCCCGGCTGTTGGTGCATCTTCCGTCCTCTTCATGAGCAAAGCAGCAGATCTCCTGGTGAGCGATCGCCAGCTGAGTCTGCTGGACTGAGGAAACGAAAAAACACCATGGCTACTAGGAGCATAGACGCTATTAGGGGCTCCTGGCCTTGCTACTAGGAGCATGGATGCTACTAGGGGCTCCAGGCCGTACTACTAGGAGCATAAACGCTACGTACTAGGAGCAAAGGGCATCGCTACTAGGAGCAAAGACCCTAGGGGCGCTCCGTGGGGATACTTTGAGGAGGCTGTCATTCAATCTTGCACTATCGGAGGTTCTCCTCAAAGCGGAGGCGAACCTCCTCGAAGCAGAAGGTTCATCTATATAGGGTCCTTTGAATTGGTACCGAAGCATGCTGGATTAAGGGGATTCAGATATGGATCCCCCTAATCTGATCCATTCCCGTCTCTCTATGCTTTGCCGTATACGCTTCATCAGCACCACTCTTCCACTTGTCCCGTCCTGACCACGGCAGCCTTTGCCGTTGCACCTGCTAGCCGGGATGAAAGTGGCGAGCTGTGGCACTCCGAGTCGGTAGCTCAAACAAGCAACAACATACATCGACATGCATCCGTTTCAAGGTAAATGCGGCTCTTGCAACTTGCAACAGTCTTAGCAATCCTGGTGACAATTTGCAGAAAACGTGAGAAGTGTAGTACATGTGTCGCATACCCCGTCAGTGGAAATGTACATGGCTATATGCCCCAAATGATCAGCCTCTTTACCCTCACAACAGCACACAAATGTTGCATGGCCAGGGCATGCGGCCGTGCCAGGTAGCAGTTCAAATCAAGTGAGGCACCACGCAAATTCCCACACAAATGAGGTTGAACGATACAATAAGTTGCCAACAAAGAGTTCTGCAATTGCTTCCCTTGCCAAATGCTGCAAATGTTGCTTGGTCTGGCAGGTCTGGCGACTTGAAACCCGGCAAAAAGCATCAAAAAGCCCTGCATCGAGCGGGGAACAAATATCTCTGAAGCTGGACTGGACGCTGCAGGCGCTGCAGCCATGCACCGAGGGACTTCAGTCACCGAGCTTGACAAAAAAGGATGACACCGTGAGAGTCGACAGAAAAAGATGGCCGAGTATCTGGAAAACTCCAACCGATGAGTTTCCTCCACCGATGAATATCGATGATGCAACCGGTTGCCATCGTCCAGTTTTGCGCTGTGTCCGTGTGACACAGCGCCAAAGGTACGCTCCCAACAAGGGTAGCCCCGTGTCAACAAATCCTTTCGAAGACTAGGATCCAACTGCGGCTTGCCGCATCAAACGCGAGGGTTATGCGTGAAAAAAAAGGGGCACCAGACAAGACCAGACCCCCAAATGCCCACCCCGATTTCGACGAAAACACGACTCGCAGCACCTTCGGGTCTTGTACTTAGCCGGATGGTAGGAGATCTCGTCACGGCTATGTGCGAAGACCTCCACGGTTTCGGGCCCGGTACAACTGGGTTTTGCCGTTGGCAAGACCAATTCACGTCGTGATCCGCCAGTTCTTTGGGTCTTGCCTAATTGGAATGTTTGCTTTCAGAGTCAATTGACGGACATCATCCTCCAGACAAACGCCACGCCACTCTGGTGGTTCTTCGTTTCGTGTCCAGCAAGATGTGCAATAAAACCCCCCAAATCTCTCAGGGCACCAAACTTCTTTCGGAATGGTAAGCTTCTTTTCTATGGGTTATCAATTGGCAACATAAATGAATGAATGAACTGTAAAGTTGTTTGCCAATTAATTCCTATCTGAAAACCGTAAGCAAGTCCACTCGTTGCTTGAGCTAACCCAGAAGAATGCCAACCTGCAGCGAATCCCAAGCCTGCGGAACTACTGTGTTGGGGGCAAGTGATGTGGACCCAAAAAACTGTAGGTTGCCAACCTACAACCCCAACCCTCCCCAGTTTTCTCCCATCATCATCGTACTCAGGCATTGTTTCCAACCTTTGTCGTCCGCTCATCTCAACTTTCTCAGCTCCAAAGACCACCTAAGACCAGTGCAGAACTGGGTCTGCGACGCAATCATCTCCATCCGGACATACTGACGCTGAAGTCATGCTTTGACACGCCATGTCCCAATACCTGCCCAGTCACAACAACGCCTCAAGACGAGGACAATGAACGGCACATGGAACTGTCCACGTCAAGAACAGTTTCTACATAGACTAGGAGAAGCAAAAGTTCAGAACTGGCGTGAGTTCTTTGAAGTTCTATGAACATGTTGGTCAAGGCTCAAGTTCGTTCACCAGAGTGGCATCATTTGGATAGCATCGTCAACCGCACGAAGCGAAAGCGAGGAGGACTTCTTCACGCAATGTGACTCATGCGCACGTATGTCGATATAAGACACCTTGGCCTAGTGAGCCGCCCTTCTGTGGCTTGCGTTACTACATGAAGACCTGTACGTAGGCCGCTAGGGACATCCCAACATCCTCATTCCCTAATTCAGTCAAATTGTCTGCAATGAATCAATGATTTGTCACTCACGTGAAAACCAAGAAAACAAAAAAATCATGGCCAAATCCTGGACCTTCGGCGTCCCTCGCGTCGTCCCCTCGCGCCTGAGGCGGCCCCCGGGCGTCACCGGCGGGCGCCGACGCTGGGAGTCGAAGTGGAAGCCTCGGGTGTCGCACTGCGGGTCGCCGCTGGAGTCATGTGCTGTATTTCTCGGCTGGACGTGGTTCGTCTCCCAAAAGAACGGGGAAGAATAGGATGTTGGTGGAAGAAAATTTGCAAAGGGCCCACTTGTGTTTATTTCCTTCACGTTGGGCTTTGTCGGTATAAGCTATAGGTACGAGTATGTGCCTTAGGCAACCCATACCTGAATCAACGCAATCAGCAATGGCCATTCATTGTCAGTGTAGTAAGATTGTCGTTCATCCAGACCATCATCTGCCCAATTCACGTCAGATTGCAAGACAAGAAAGCGGGGGCACTAATCCTTGATCTTATCTGATCTTCTGTTGCTTCTGTTGCTTTTGTCCCTGTGGAGGGAAGCATCTCTGATCCCTCAAACCCCCTCTTCAACCCAGTCTTTCGTCTTTCCCCACTCTTCACCCCGTGCAACAGTGGAAAACCGGGCTTCCAGGCAAAAGCATAAGGAGGTCTTGCCCCGGACGCGGTGCAACGCACAGTAGCCTTTCTGAAACTCCTTGGCGATTTGGGAGAGCTCTGACCCGAATCATTCGCACCTCTGAATCCATCGATCAACAGCAGAGAACCCTAAAGTGGCCATTGCTTTTGGTAGTAAGAGCTGCATCCAGCACCTACCGCTTTATTATGTACACTGGAGTGGCTTAAAGATTGGAGGGGGCTGAACATTGGAGGAGTCTTGGATAAGTGTCCAGATTCTGAAGGTTTCGAAGCATGTCTGCCAGGAGGTCTTTCTCGCTCACCAAAGTAGCGGCCAAAAGAAGCCAAAAGGTGTGTTCTTCTGACTCTTCATCGGCGTGCGCACTTCGACTAGAGCATTTGTGCAGGAGTCGCAATGGTTCCATTTACGTTTCAATTCCAACCATTGATTTTGGGTTGAATCCCGAACAGCCATTGTTTTTACGGATTTTGCATCACAAAACTAGGTCAAGCTTTCCTTTAATGGTCTTGGAAGGCTAGGATTTACGTTTTAAAACATCAAGTGCTCCACTGTGAACTGAGACTTTGTTGGGATCCACCCTCTGGGCTGCATTTCTGAGATACGCAAACCCTTTGATTGGCCGCATCTTAGGTTTTGGTGGTCGCTATCGGTGAAGTCCATGAATTTCCGATGATTGCAACCCTGGGTTCGGCACTTTGGGAGTTGAAGTCCTCCATGTTTTTGGACCACTCCGGGCGCCCCAGCCACGCAGGGTTGCGTGTGGAAGCCCTGCAAGATCGCCCGGTGCGAGGAGAGCTCCGCGAGCGGCCGCCAATTGGGTAGGAGCAACTCACATGCCTCGTGTGTCGTCACGCCATGTCCGGCAGGTTCGGCGGGTGGTTGAATTTGGATGGGATGGACAACATTGGACAACTATATATATATATTCCCACAAACAAGAAGAGGGTGCTTTTGTTCTGTTGAAACTCCGGCAGTTGTTCATGGCCCAAACTATTGTTGGGATGCTCTAGCGACTCTGAAGGAGCACAGAAAGCCTTAACAACCGTGCTTGGAAAGATTCAAGTGTCCAAGAGCAAGTCTAAATCTTAACAACTACACAAACCACCGAATCAGGAAAAAACCATCTCCCCACTATCAGGACCTCAACATGTCCGTTCGTTCCACCTCTAAGCGTGCGCGGGTAAAGGCGGCACACCACTGTGTATCCTGGCGACGGCCATCGCCATCACGTCACGACGCGAATGGCACGCCGATGTGGCCACGGCTTTGAGTCAAAACAGGCTTTGAGTGGTTTGCTTTGACCCCTCTTCTCCTGTAAAAGCTGGTGTTGTGTACATTTGGGCAGGCCCAAGTTCAGGACAATCCCTTCCCCAACCAGAATGGTTTAATGTTGGGTCTGCTAATTTCAGAAGGCAACAGCTCCGCAATTCCAAGTCGCCTCACCAGCGAAAACAAACATGTATAGAACTGCACGAAAAGAACGCCCTTGCAAAAAGGAACAGCCTTCCAAAAGTCGAGCTTAAGACAAAAAGTGTGGTGGACATGACATGGTGAAACTATCTACATATTCGGGTACAAAAGGTGTCTATTTGTTTTGTCGAGCAAAGGATCTCCCACTTCGATCCCCAGTTCCCAAAACCCGAGTTCATCGTTCTTCTCCTTGGAGTCCATCTGCACCTCCATCTTCTTGGGCCCTGGAACACACGGAACCAGTTCGGAGCTTCAGTGGATTCCTCTTCCAGCGGAAATCCTCCAGATTTGCACTGCTTTGACCCCGCAATGGCATGGAGTGGGGGGGGGCACAACCACCGGACATCGAAACGGTTCGGTCTTTTCCGTCCGAAAACGTGCCAACGTCAGGTCGCCTATGGGGCTTGGCCCGGTCATGACGGCGAGGTTCGACCCTTCTGCAAGCCACAAAGCAGCGGGACAAATCCAGCGAATTTCTGGATGTGTGTTGAAGAGGATACGAATGTTGCCACGAGTGTTTGCATGAGTTGTCAAACGATGCACATCCCTCACCACATAAGGAGTCTACATCTCCAAAGCTGTGGGACAGAGAGCGAAGGAGAAATTTCAGATGATTCAGCATTGCTATGACCAGCTTGGAAATGTGGGGGGAAGGAATCTGCAAGCCTTGAAGCTCCAGGGCAGAAGTCTTCCACAAAGATTCCCATTTCAGGAGTGGACCCAAAAAAACAGGGGTAAAAAAATGAACACCTGAGACAAGAAAGCGCTGACCAGCACGAGTTTCTCTTGGATTGAGTTGTATCCTACTTCCTCTCGCTGGGTGGATCTTGAAATGAACTGCTCCTTTTCTTGCCTTACAGTCCTGCACCAATCAGGTGCACTCAGCCCGAGCTCACGTAACGCAAGCTACGAAGCCGACAGAAGGCTCCGAACGTTCAGGCTCAGCGTGCTTCGCAGCACGCTTCACGCTTCGCGTTCGGAGTTCCGGCAGATCGACGCTCAACGGATCCACGACTCGATGAGACTGAGGACATTGGCGTCTGGCGTCGGCGTGGGCGGCGTGGGCGTCCTGGCCCTGCACTTCATCAGTTCCTGGGCGAGCGACGGGGGCGGCGTTTGTTTTCGGCACCGGTCGCGCGTGGCACCGGAGGCGAACGGAGTTGAACCGTTTTCGCCTGCTTGCAGCGTAGGGTTGGGGCGCCACTACGGGGGGAGAAGACTCACCGAAAGCGACCGAGGCCCAATGAAAACAAGACTCTTGTTGGTGACAAGCGTCTTTCAAAACCCTATTTTGACACACTCACATATTGGCACGGCACCTCACCGTGATGTAGCATTCAAAACCCAATGTGAAATTAAGGACAAGGTGAGGCACTATCTTGGACTAGGGCGGCCACTTGATACCCTTTTTGTTCCAAACGCAGCCAATTGAATCTACACTCTTGAATCTGTTTCGCAGCACGTTGCGAATATATGGCAAGTCACATATTGCCCTAATTCATAGCGCACGCACACACACTTGTGTCTTTATGACTCTTTACGTCCATTGCCACCCGCGCTTTCAAGTGAAGGGGGTGAGGAGTCGGTGAGGGGGCGGGTCTGGGCGGGTCTGATCATCCTGTCTTGAAGGGATGTCCTGTCTTCCCGACTCATGGAGACTCGTTACTAGAAGCGATGCACTTGTTCCTAATAGCGAACCTTGTTACTACTAGTAAGGCACTTGTTACTACTAGCGTGGCACCTGTTACTAGAAGCGATGCACTCTGCCTGTCTCCATGTCGAGAGCTTCGCGATTGAGATTCAGCTCCCACAGACGCAAAGACACGGAAAGACGAGGAAGCCCCCCCCGCGCGCTGGAATCGAAAGACACAGGATGCACCAGCGCGCGGATCGTCCCCTCTTTGAGTCCAGTCGAATGGTGTGGAAAAAAGTGAGGGGGGGGGTGGGCCGATAATACATCTGCCAGGCCACTGTCTTGTAAGACTCCTGAATCTGTGTCGCAGACTGCTTCAAGGTCGTCGTGTCAGGGAAAGGCAAACTGGACGCCTGCAGGACGATGCAACTGACGCCCCAGTAGGACAAAGGACATAACCCTAAACCCTGGTAGGTTGGCCTCGCAGGGAGTCTATTCTGTTCATTTTCTGTGGTCAAACAAGGTCTCCCGGTTTTTGACCCACAGCCACATTGACGCTGCTGTCATAGCATGTTACAGCTGTCATAATTCTAAACACGACTGCGATGGCATCACTTCCCATCCACTGGCTATGTTCTTTGCCCCCAAAGTTGGAGATTGACGGAAAAAACTGCAAGCCCAAAAGTGCAAAGGAATCCCAAACATGAGTTGTCATAAGGAGGGCCGTTCCAACTCAACACACCAAGCCTTAGGCAGTTTGGGATTCCTCCACGTCCCTGAAACAAATCCGTTCTTTACCTCCGCACCCGGCCGCCTGGAAGCGGTGCAGCAGGAAGACCATGCCCTGCACCGCGAAGCGTGCCTGGCATCTGCGGAGACCCACTTTTTTCCTTCAAAGACCAGGGGCTTCCAGCTTTAGTCGTCCATAGGCTCAGAAAAAAACCTGAAATCATGACGCTTTGTGGTCTGAGCCTTTCTTTCGGTCTGAGCCGCCCTGTGAGAGTGCGATCGGACACGAGATGTACCGGTGGACTAAATCAACTCACTCTAGGAACAATGACAAATTCTAGGAACAAGTGCAATGTTGTATGGGCCTCGTCACTGACCTCAAGCCCTCTGAACTCTCTTCCAACTCACCATTCGCATGGAATGAGCCCTTGGCGACTAATTAGCTTGCATTGGAGCCCCCCCAAGCACACTCTGCACCGCTCTGCCTGGTCCAAGGTCTGCTTCGCCAAAGGCGACTCGCAGCCTTCGGCGCGCATCACGTGACCAAAGAGGTCCCCGTCGCGGATGATCGAGGCCATCTCGCCCATCAAATTGCTCACCTGCCGTGGGAGGTGGGAGGTGATCGAAGGTGGGAGGCTTGGCTTTGGAGCAACGGATTCACGAAACAGCCATAGTGGCCATAGTGGCCATAGTGGCCATATGCCATGACTCTTTGAGGAGGGGACGACAGGGCAAGATCTGCTGTGGTCGTTGGACTGATCTGTAAACTACCTTCTAACCCCACCTTACCGACAGGTACCCACTCTGCGCGCAGGTTGGCAAAATCCAGCAACTGAGAGTGGTTCTGATGGTTTTAGTCCAACATCCCCAGTTCAATGGACATGAATTGTCTTTCAGGAGGCCCTACGGCTTCAGCAGCTTGTATTAGCAGGTTCCAATGCAAGTAATGTGTGGTTGCATGTGTTTGTGCAAGTAGTGCTTTGTTGCCCTCCAGTTTCAGTGTTGGTCCGTCATGATGCAAACAGTGCATTCACAATGAACTGCAACCTACAGCCAGTATGTGTTGGCATGTCACAGGGCAAGTATGTTGGCAGTCAGGATATGTGTATAAGATTGTATAAGCTCGTGGAGCTGGTCGCACAACTGAGTCGTGGAAGATCACTTTTTCTTAGGTTTTGTTCGCTCGCTGTCCTTTTTGCTTTTTCTCTCTACAGAGGGTTTCTCTACCTTGCATATCGTGCCCAGAGTGACACATATGCCATCGTCGCGTCTCACCTGGACCGCACAATGAGAGAGATAGTATAAGATTGCATAAGCTTCGTGTGCTAGCCAGTTAGGGTGCAAGTCATGCTGTCTTGATAGGCTGTAGGTTGCCTACCTACAGCTTCACTGCGTGGGTCAGCATGTTATGATGCAAGTAATGCTGTCTTGATTGGCTGTAGATTGGCATCCTACCGCTTAACTAGAGGACGCTAACATGTCACAGTGCAAGTGCCTGTGGGTTGCAAAACCTAGAGGTTCACAAGCGTGGGTTGGTGCGTCACGATGCACAGAAATTACCTGGCTATCTGGCCTCACGCCAAGTGCTCTTTAGCTTCTGATGGCTCTTCTTCATCTTGGACATGCTGGAGGCATAGCTCTTGAGCAACTCCTCGAAGCCTCATGGAAGCTTCCAGGTCCATGCAGACCCAAAAAAGGGAACGCTTGCAATGGTTGGCTGAAAGGCCTTATTCGTTGGGACGCAACCCAACACGCTCTGATGGTCACTGTCTCACTGCTAGGAACAAGTGCATCGCTACTAGTAGCAAGAAGCTACTAGTAGCTAATTGCATTACTACTACTCACAAGAAGCGACTAGTAGCGATGCCCTTGTTACTAGAAGCGGTGCACTTGCTACTTGACCTTCGCTTCGGCCGAAGGGGGTCCCACCTGACTTGCAATTCTCATAGTTCTCCAAGGCCAAGAAGGAGGCTTGCACTCGGCGGATCTCCACATCGGCCGAGTCCAGGTAGCCGTCCAGGTGGTTTCGAAGTCGCCACCACAGGTGATCCAAGCTCACCAGGGACCTGCTAGCCTCTCGAACCTCCTGTTTCCACTGCTTGGCCGTCTTCTGTGCAGAGCTGCTGTGAGTGCGGTAGATGCCTCGGCTTCCCAAAACTCGCCCACCTTCAGCGCCAAAACTGGTAGAAGTTAAAACCAACTTCGAAGTTAAACTTCAAAACTCCGTGTCCTTCGAACTCGCCGAGATGCTCAAGGCACGTTCCTGCTCGGCGAAGCGCTTCTGCAGCTTCTGCACTTCGCTGCGGATCTGTCGCCCGACCACCTGCGCTCGGTTCAAGGTGCCGCTGTTCATCTTCAACGACTCATGGAGCAGCTCCACCTAGTTGGGCACTGAAAAAGCAAGCGGGGAGCTGAGGTAGAGTATATATACATATATAGTCATTGTATCTTAGCCTAACGAGGGTGCTAACGAGTGTGGACCTGGAACTAAGCCTTAAGCTGTTGAGAAGCTTTTGGAGAAGAGACGGGCTACATCTCAAGTCTGCTCATGCGCCAAGCTCATCTGCGTGCTGAAAAGATAACACCAACCCGTGCCTGGCGTTGAAAGCCTTGCACTTGGCTCAAGCGGGACGTCTTGTTGGTGTCCTGCATTGCGATAAATCTGGCACAAGGAACCAGAATATACTCAGAATACAGACGCAAACCTCCTGGCCCTCCTTTCATTAAATGTGTTTCCAGTCTGGGTGGGCTGCTGAAAGGTGTTTGACGGCTCAAGCTGCCTCAAGTTGCTGCGCACTCACGAGGAAGCTCTGCAACGCATCTTGCGTGCCACGGCGACTCACAGTGCCTTGGGAGCGACGCAAAGCGTTCTTGGTACTACAGTGGGCGTTACTAGGCTCGGCTCATCCCCTTTTGTCACCTTGTAGTCAGATCATCCCTCATATGCCTGTCTAGAAATCAGCTTTGCCCCAAGCCACAAGCACAGTCAATCAAAACAAAGGACACGTTCCCAGCCACCGGGCAAGGAAAGGTGAATGGATGACATGGCCTGCACGACATGGATTCCATTTAGGGATCAGTAAGCCATAGTAGGCCGCTGAGCCGACCTTAAGGCCCAGATGCTGAAGGATGAGGCCTCAGCATACCCTTGGAGCTCGTCCAGCATTGCCTGGCGGCCCCACCACAGGAGGCTCAGGTTCAACAAAAGCAGCGATGGGTGATGGGCCTGGTTGGTGGAGTCATCCATCACCAAGGAATTAGTGGAGTATCTTCGTGGTAAAAGTCAAGCTCTGCAAGTTCCACTGTCTTGCACAAAGAGTGAGAACATGTGACTTCAGTCCTCTTGCGGTCGAAGTGGGAGGCTTAATAAAACATGTTCCAAAGAAGCATGCAGTTCTAGATGCCGTGGTCCGAACACCATGTACGGGCAAGACACTCCTTCTTGACATGTCAATGATCATCCCCCATGCGGCAAAGGCGATTGCAGCACCGCGCTGTTTTCTCTGGTTCCTGCCTTGGTGGCTGCTGCGGTGTTCTTGATGAGAATCGGCTCAGTGTTCTTTGAGATGTGCTCCAGGTAGATGGTGTTCACTTTCCTCAGTTGCACAATGTCACCCGCAAACCTCCAACCAGGTTTAAATGCCACACAAGGAAGGTCCAGATTCTAATTACATCAAGGCTTACCCTTATGGTCATGTAAGTTGATTGGCTCCGGGCTGCCCCACATGCGACGGGAGGTGCCGGCACGCGAGATCGCTTGCGACGGCGACCGTTCCAAGGATCAAGGAATGGTCAATCTTCTTGTCCAAGTATTCCGTTTCGGCCCTGTTCGCCTGGAACGATCGAAACCGTCGACGAGTGTGAGCGATCTGACGATGGCGCAAAAGACTTCGGATCTCTTTTTGCAGACATTTGGAAGGCGTTGTGCTTTGGTTGTACCAAAAGACATGTGCTTTGGCTGATTTCGCCCATTTTGTCTGGCCTCGGTGGACCAATCCACCATCTTTTTCATGTTGTCGTTGGAAATCTTTGTGGCCTCGAGACATCGAGCCCGACACAACTCGTTGAATGCGAGCGGGCCACACCTCACAGCCCGAAATGCACTGAAGACTCGCATCCACCAGCCGAGGGTGTTCCACATGGAAGGCTGAGAAACTCGTTCCTTTGGGTCTGAGTCTAAGGAACGCCCAAAGGCGGTTCGCCTTCTCCAGGTTCTTCAAGATGCTTCGGTCTCCACGGATCACGGCATCCCGGACGCAATGAATATCACCTCACATTTTTGATTGTCGTCAGGAGATATATAATATGCATTATATACATATGCCGTTGCATGGTCGTGTTTTCTTCTGCGAAGAAGACATATTCGTGTGGCAGCACAGTTTGTCTGCATCACTTGGCAGCACAACTATCAAGCATGGGGTCTCAAAAGGGCAACTGAGAGTTGAAACCAGCATGGATCAAATGTGTTTGTTGGTGTTTTGATGTGTTTTATGCCTTCCAGACTGAATCAGACTTGGTCGAGTCACAAAAGACCCGTGCGAAACCCACTTGGAGTGGGTTGCAGGCATTGAAGCCTTCCTCTTCCAGCTTGAGATCGAAGCTGGCAAATGAGAAACCAACGGGCAGGTCAATCATGGCCCGCACAAAGTCCGTGACCTGGTCACAAATGCTGTCCGGCTCCACTTCCACACCGGCTCCCAAAGGCGCGATCTCCGCGTCCGGTGGCATAGCACAGACCAGCTTGATGCCTTCCTGTCGCGCTAGGTAATGCCTTCCGTGAGGTCCGCACATCATTTTGTTGAGATCTACAGAAAGAAGGCATCCCTATTAGGTTGGAGGCCATCGCTATTAGGTTGGAGGCCATTGCTACAGGCCGGAGGCCATCGCTAAAAGGTTGGAGGCCATTGCTATTATATCAGTTGGAGGCCATCGCTCTTAGGTTGGAGGCCATCGCTAGCAGGTTGGAGGCCATTGAGATCTACAGGAAGAAGGCGAAAATGTCTTTTGCGGATCAAAAGGAATCTATCTTGGCCGATTCTCTGCGAGATCTACCTTGTTTGTATCCCGGTTATTGTTCCCACTTGTGATAGGTGTAACCATGTGTAACCACTACGATTCATTCTCACGATTTCATTCACCGATTTCCCTCAAGAGTCGGCATCTCGGCTTCCCCAGTTATGCTACCTGTCCCTCTCTCCTGGATGGCGCTGGCAACCAAGTCATAAGCGGCTTCCCCGTAGGCAGTCTTGGCGGCCACTAAGTCTCGATTGATGTCGCCCTGCATGCAATCGTTCCAGTCGCTGTAGAGCATGTTTTCAGGTGCCTCTCAGGGGAACCGACAGTCGAGACGAGACCGTTCGAAACTTCGAAAGCCCCAAACTGATATGCTATTTAAAAGCTATTTAGTTAATGCTATTCATTCTTCACGAATACCTCTGTGGATCAAAGTTTTGGGCTCACCCCGGGCCAGTTGGCCGCTCTGTCCGGCTATGCGGCCAAAGATGCCGCCGGCATCGTTCGCCACCTGGAAGATGCTGCGCGAAGAGTGGGTGAATTTCTGCATCGGTGATATTCAAAATGGAGATCCTTCGGAAGGCTACTAAGCAAAACCCAAGAGAGATCACAATCTCCTACCAGTACCTGCCCTCGGTCGTTGCCGCGCGTGCGCGCGGAAAAGGTGCTGCCTGGCAAGGATGGTAGTCGAGTAACTCCTGCCCCTCAGTGCCGGGATCCGCTTCCAGCTTGGCCTCTTCAGTCACCTCTTCCTTCTCTTCGTTCACATGGGTCTCAACAATCTTCTTCCAGAGGTCCTGCTGTGGGAGGCTACAGGACGATCCCCCCAACTGTGTAGCCTCGCATGACTGAATTTCTGGCCACATGTGCCACATGAAAGAAAGAGAGTCCCTTCAACCCACAAGACACAAGTGTTATGACTCGACTCGACCACGGTACACCATGACCTGTTGCAGTTCACCATCAATCTCCCCAACAACCGCCAACTGCTGACTTCGCATAGACCGAAACGTTAAAAAAGGTAGAAAGCTTTATTGTTGGTGAAACAATTCCCAGTGATACGATTCCCAAGGAAGCTTCTGGTTACCGGAATCTAGTTACCGGAAGCCTACTCAATAAAAATAGATTTGTGAGAAAGAACTACTGAACTGAACCTCGTCCATCAATTCCATACCCCTACTCCTGCTTCTCCTGCTACTACCACACACCCTGTAAAGCTGCAACTCTTCTCCCAACTTTTCTCCTGGTAGTTGAGACATTCTTCTGCATATTGAGGCATCTCTGCCTTGTAAACTTGTAAGCTGGGCTTCGGCGGCTGTGCTGGGCGCTTGGGCGGCTTCAGGGCTTTGAGCCGCTTGGCTAAGTCTTTGGCACTGTCACCTGCGTGTCTTCGCGACGAGTTCCGTCGGGGTGAAGACTAGGGAGTTCCGTCTCCGCCGAAACAGTCACAGCCCGTGAACAGAAGTGAGTGCGGAGCATCAACCACAGGAAGAACTGGTGGGTTTTCATCGGTAGAATTCACTAGAAGTTCCTAGTAGCGAACATTGTTCCTAGTAATACGGCCAGGAGCCCCTAGTAGCGTCCTTGCTACTAGTAGCGATGCCAGGAGCCCCTAGTAGCTTCTTCCACCTGGATGTTCTCATGTTCTTTCTTGATATGACATTGTCATCGCAAATGGATGAGAAACTCGTCAGGGCAGTTTCCGAACACCAGCCATCCGGTTCCGGCGAACCCCCGAGTCCACCAAATGCCGAAGAGAAGAATGGATGATCCAATCCACGACATTTTCTCAGTGGTTTTGCCCAGAAGCTTGTGAACCTCGTAGCTCCTTATTTTGGGACGAAGCATGTGGGGCATTCTGGGGGTAGCTGATGTCAAAGGGTGTGGGATTCCATCTAAACCTTCGAAGAGCAACCCATGATCACCTCTCCCATCCAATCGATGTCGCGGGCGTCGTTCACGGCGTCGTTTTCGCCACCGCACCTTCCAACTTCGGGACGCCCTTCGCTTCGAAGTGTCCGTCGAAGTCCGTGACATTGAGCACCTCCACGCCACGGCGGAGATTCAGACGACCGGTCGACGAATGAAATCCTGAAACCTTAGGTGACTCTACAGTAGGTCTCTTTGAACCTATCTCTAAAGAACCACCAAAACACTACAAAAACCATCATTTGTCCTATCCCACAAACATAGAACTCCAAACAACCGCTAAAAATCATGCTTTTGGGGGGTTCTAGGCTAAATTCTCAAAGAAACGCAGGAGAAGTTGCTTGCATAATTCGAAAGTGCTTACTGCTTTGTCTTCCCCAAATCAGCTTCCTCCCTCCTTTGTCTCCCCCCAAACCCCCCGTAGCTCTCCGCCTCATGCGTGGTCATCACCACACCCACCGGAGTGGCCCCTCCCACAGCCGCAGAGCAATCAGAGGCCACGCACCAGGCGCCGTTCGATTGGAAGTTCAGCTTGTCGCCCGTGATGATGTTCTCATACTCGTAACGGCCCGTGTCCACGTCCAAGGTCTGAAGTCAGGGCTACAAGGACTGAAGTCAGGGAGAGCGTTTCTGGGTAGGACCCATCCGCATTGTCTGATCCTCTTTGGTGTACCTGTACCTCCTATCATCTAACCTCTATGCAACAAACATAGAAGTGGATGGCATGGCAACTTGGAAGAACCCTCTTTCTTCCAACATGCCGTTCACTTCGAAAAGGCGAGTTAGATATCTCGTTTTCGAAGACAGCATGCGTCTCGCGTTTTCCGCTTCGTTCCTCCAGTCCGCCTTCGGGCAGAAGACTCCCTCGGTATCTTGGATCAACGCCTCGATCATGGTCGAAGGCTCCATCACCACTGGGGCACCACCGGCCTCGAACGGCGAAGAAGGAGCAGAACATCGGAGACCAAGTGTGGGTTTGCTCTGGGGGGAAGGTGACCTCTGGGCGTCAGAAAAAGATTGATACATAGAAAAAATAATGGGTATAGCCGGTATAGCTCAAGAACAACGGGCAGTCTGATTCAATGTTTCCCAAAATCACGGGCAGCACTTCACATGATGTTCCAATTCCTGAGGGGATTGGAAAACGTTTCCATGAGGCTGTTGGATTAGGGTTTCTTAAACCAGTATGTCATGGGCATTTGGTGGCCTCCCAAGCAAAGAGGGTGTCCTGTGAATGTTCACAAATCCCGATGACTTACAACCATCAGCTCTCAGCTTCTTGCTTCTTGGAGTAAATAGAATATGGAAAAGTATCAGCACCATCGTCCTACAGGCTCCTGCTGTTGTTTCCCCAAAAGAAACCAGAGCTTCTTTAAGTGTTTGCGCAACTCCTGTACTTCGGGATGACCTTTAACAGAATCCACAGAAAATCAGATTCACCGAGCGCACCCCCGCGTCGCGCCCGCGCGGCACCTTGGAGCAAGTGTACTTGGAGCGCGCCCATCGACCGCCCTCCGAGAATTCGAAGTGGAAGCCACTCAGGAGGCCGTTCATTCCGCAATCCACGGTGATCATCTTCCTGGTTTTCGAAAGGGAATTGGACCTCCAAGTTCCACCATGCACATCTGGGGTTCTGTATGGTTCGGTTGGAAAGCAACGTTACTTCCTTTGGAATATGGATATGCTACAATAACACGCGTCAGGTCTGGTCTACCTGTCGCGACCAGCGGGGAATGCGTCCGAAGGAGGAGTGTGGGGCAACCAACCTAATAGCAAACCTTGTTACTACTAGTAGGGCACTTGTTACTAGTAGCGATGCACTTGTTACTACTAGTTCGTGCTCGTCCACCGGCGATTTCTCAGTCTCATGTTGTCATGCCGTTTCGTCTCGTCGCCATTTTGGCGAGGGAAGGCCACACATCCGAGCCACAAGGATTCGATGAAGTTGGCCCGGTTGGCATCAAAGGCTTTCACCTCTACCTGTGCACTGAAGTACTCATACTTGGCTCCCAGACCACCTGGGGGGCCGATCTGGTCCGCGGTTTGGACGAAAGCGGAGAACATTTAGACCCAAAGATTCGTGGCGTTGTGTGTTTCACTGCCAAGATGGAGAGATCTATGACATGACTAAACGTCTACGTCGACAATGTTGTTTCACAGTCAGGTCAGAAGTTAAACAGAACAAGCCAGACCCTTGTGGCATGTAGTAACAAGAAGCTAGTAGTAACAAGTGCATCGCTACTAGTAACAAGTGCCTTGCTAGTAGGAACAAGGTTCGCTACTAGTAACAAGTGCATCGCTACTAGTAACAAGTGCCTTACTAGTAGGAACAAGGTTCGCTACTAGTAACAAGTGCATCGCTACTAGTAACAAGTGCCTTACTAGTAGTAACGAGAAGCTATTAAATTACTTTAAGTTATTTCTAATAGCTTCTTGTTACTACTAGTAAGGCACCTGTTACTACTTTACTAGCAAGGCACTTGTTACTACAAGTGGTTTAAAAGCCGGGCGTTCGACCCTCTGGGGGTGACCCGGTCAACCGCTTATGCGACTTCCCATGTTCTCGCCTATGCGGCTGCACTCATACCTGAACTTGTTGCTGGCAGGCTGATGCTTGAATCCAGTCAAAGCTTCACCATCCGCACAAAGGATGGGTGAATCTGCCAACAAAGTGTTCCAGTCTGGCCAGTTTGTGCTGGTCTTGTCATAGGTGATGGTACTGTCTACAAACTTTCCGAACTTGATCACCGGAGCGAAGTGACAGTTGGATTTGGTTCCACCGATATCTCCACCAAAGATCTGCCCGAAGGACAAACTGCTCAGTGCTCCATGGGCACCACAATAGGAGCTAAAGGCGCTGTGCAGATCCTCTCCGCTGTTGCGATCTGCATCGGAGTGCATCTCCCACATGATTTCCGGGATGGCCATGGGAGAAATCTCCTGCCGCACATTGTCCGGATTGCACGTCTTATGAGCCACGAAAGGTGAGACGCCATCCGAAGCGACCACGGCCTCCAGGCATTGGTTGTTGTCCGGAGCACCTGAGAAGCGTCCAAAAGGCGATGGCGGTGTAACTAGTGGCCTCCGACTTACTGTAGCAAAAGGAACCTACTAGTGATGGCCTCCAACCTAGCACATCAAAGCGTGGGATTGCTTGCCAGACATGGACTTCTAGGGGCTACAGAGTTCCCCCCGAAGGAAGCCCTAGGCTATGGTGACCATCCATGACCCCCATGACCCCACACGAAATCGAAACAAAGCCAGTGGCGTTGATCTCAAAATGAGTGAGGATTTGTTCGACGAAGAGCAAACTCTCGCCAGCCAATGAATTCATATACAGTATCTTGAAAATATTCATCCAGTAATTACTACAGTGCCAGGCATATGTTTGACATGCTGGGTGTTTATCCAATTCTGTGACTGTATTCTGAGGTCCAGTTCCTGGTTGCCTCTCTTTTTGGTCTTGAGAACTTCGATGCCGTGCCTTGGTCAAGGAGAAGCATCATGCGCTCCTGAACCTCCGACGATGTAGAAAGTTGGATTGCCAAAATCTCAGGGCATTCCTGGCGACGATTTCTGTAGTAACAAGAAGCTATTAGAAACAAGTGCCACGCTAGTAGTAACAGGTGCCTTACTAGTAGTAACAATGTGTTGATCCAAAGTAAAACCAGGCTCTTGCGATATCGGTGTGTCCTAGGTCCTGGGAGACCCTCTCAGATCGACCAAGAAGTAACGATATAAGGAACGACCAAAACCATGCCAAACCCATTGGGCCAGGTCTCCCTATTTCAGTACACAGCCCTTGGCCCAATCGAACCATCTTTACCTGAATTCGACCGAACGGGTTTTTCACGGTGACCCCGGTGACCCGACTTCCTGTGGCACACTTCCGGCCAGACGGATCCCGATCCGGTCAGATCTGTTTCTCCTGCTCGTTTTCCAACATCATTGAATGCGCCAAGGTCTTGTGCTTCTTCAGGCAGAACTTGTGCGCCGCCGCGGACGTCTCCACCACCGAGCCCAGCTCCGTGTAGACACGGACGGCCATGCGACTGAAGAAGTAAAGCTCCTGGTGCGACAGATCAGCGTTGGTCACAACAAAAGTTCCTTTATATAAATTGGCTGCTGCTGCAAGAGAACTTACTTCAAAACATTGTTGGTATAAATTTAGTCAATATATACAAGGACACAAATACCCGTCCCTCCAGAACGTCGCTGAAGACACAGTCCAGACCATGTCGCTAGTAGGTTCGAGGCCCTGTCTCGAGTCATGAATAGATTCCGCCCATGAATGGATTCGCTGAAAGGTCAAAAAAGACCAACTCAGATGTTGCCTCCTGTTGTCCCATGTCTCACCTGTCCCGAAAGACTCTCCTGCTCATTTCGCTTGGCATACTTGCTGTATCCACCACCGCCCACAAGCACGCACGGCTCGCAACTGAAGGCACCCATCCTACAAAACTCGCAACGTTCGAGCGCTCGATACCAAGGACTTGTTCTTGGGACGATCAGATCAACTAGCAACAAGCCACTCTTGAGACCACTTGAGACGCGAAACAACAACGCCTGGTCAAAGGCACAACAAGAACAAGAACACGTGTGTGGAAGTGTACTGTTCGTGTGCACGACACGAACGACATGAAGAAATAACACCAAGTTGCTCCGGGCTCTGCACCGAGTTGAACCAATCTCCGTTCACGCAGTGCAAGGTCTCTCGGGTCACCTTCGTCTTGGAGCGGAAGGATTCGAAGCGCTCCTTCCAGCAACCCACCTGCACCGCGCGAACAATCCAGGCGAACAACGTGTCTTTGAACGACAGGTTGGAGGACTTCCCGACGGGTCGGTCTTCATCCATCGAAACTCGGCCTCCAACCTAATAGCGATGGCCTCCAAAACGTTGCTACGAGGGTTGCAGGGGATACTTGACACGAAAGGGGACACACTCGTTGCCTCTGCGGTACGCGAACAAATGGAAACGGTCCGCTAACAATGGAGATCGGGCCTTCAACTCCGAGCCATGCACAAAGCTCATGGGCAGCACCTTCTTCTGCTGCCACGGGTGATAGTTGGGTTTTCGGTAGTTGGGCCGTGAGCAATGCTCCACGCCAATGCCACCCATGAGCAAGAGAGAATCACATTGCTGGTGCAAATGCATGTACTCGAAGGACAAGGGAGCCAGGTGGCCAATGGCGCGAGCTTCAACCACTGGCGTCTCTGCCAAACTGGCTGGTTGTTGCAGCTCGATCTTCAGCTCACTTAAGATCATCAAAGATGTTTTCATCGTTGCACAGTTTGCTGTGACGTGGATATCCACATGGCTGGTGTGTGCTCGAACGCCATTGGCCCGTGCTCGGCAGGAATTTCCATCTGCCCAGACTCGTGCACAATTGTCTCCTCGGTGGCTGGTACTCTTACACCAGCAGCCCAACAGGGTGCGATCGCTGGGGCATGTGGCCGTAGGTCCCTCATCCTCCGCACTCCAGGAACACGGACGAACGACGCATGGGTTCATATGCATCCTCGTGTGAATTCACCGGGTGACGTTGGACATTGCATTTTGTAGTAGGGACTGAGGTTTGGGGTCTAGAAAATGAGGGGGTGCACATTTCCAGCGAGGTGAGATAGTAGAAACTGTGAGTGGCCCAGTATGCGCAAGCCTCATGTCTCACTAGAAAATGACTGGGCCAACATCTATCTCGAACTGTTTTACTGCTTTTCGGCAATCTCTAACGCCCTCAGGGGCATTAGGGAATCTTCTAAGTTATTGCAGCTTAAGACTATATCAATCTGTGAACAAACCTGATTCCATCCGAACATACTCCAAACATACTACCTATACTACAAAATGACTAGTTGTCTGTGAAAGTCACTATTATGGAAGACAGAAAGAATGCTACAGAAAGCATTGGCACACGGCCATGTCATTCTTGGCCATCACTCGCAAGATGACTACAAAATAGCTCAGCTGGCCAACATGGATGGGCTGCCCAAAAAGTCAAATTACTAACTATACAATGACTACCCAAAAAATATCAGAAATATGAAATATTTCACTACAGAATGCCTTTCTATTGTGGCCTCAGGGGCTGTCATTCTCTGGTGGAAATTCCATCGGGGAGTCATTTGCTTTAAACTTGTTGAGAACGAAAGAGAACTGATTGAAAACTGATACACAGAGAACATCATCAAGGAAAATGATCGGCTCTTCAGAATGAACTGGTTCAACTTCGCAAAATCTCCAAGCCATCTAAGAGCTTGAAGAGAAACTGCACTCGGGGAGCTTGGAACGCCCCTTGAAAACTCGACAAAGGCTAAGACCAACAAAAATCCAAATTCTTGTGTTGTTCAACCTGCAATCATTCTTCACCGAACGAGAAACAAATGGTGGAAGAAAACCATCATGCACTTGTCAACACCTCATCACGATTTGTAGCCAATCAATTCAATCAACACCTCCTTCAGTTACTAGCTTCTTGTTACTAGTAGCAAAAATGCTATTAGTAGCAATGCCCTTGTTACTAGTAGCGATGCCCTTTGCTACGTTCGTAGCTTCTTGTTACTCAATGCAGCGCCCAATTATCGCCGTCCAACACCGCTCCTTGTTGGTCCAATACCTTCCCGAGGCCGCCTTTTCCTGCCAATTCCGTGTGGCGGGTGCTGGAAGCTTCGCACACACCGCCTGCGCGTAGCCACCTGCATGGGGGCAGATGATCAAGCAATCTTGTTGGAGGTCTGAGACCCATCTCCGAAACCCGTGGAGTTAGACGATGATCATCATTGGCGTTGTGCTTTTCCATATGAAGCCGCCAATTCTGCCAGCCCCCCAACCCCTGCAGCCTGCAGCCACCCCATGTCAATGTGGGCATTGGTTGGATGGGCTACATCAAAGAAAACGCCAGTGAAGCGGGGTCTATCGGAACATCGGTTTGCGGAGAGCTGATGGAGGTACATCGGTACATCCAGTCTCCATCAGACACTGCCACAAGCAGAAAAGGTCCAGTCACCATCTTTAGACAACTTATAGATGGAAAAACTGGGGAGGTCGCTGCCAGCGTCCTTCCCACTCCAACTCTCTCCCTCTTTGTCCCTTTTGCTCATGGGTCGCCACGTTGCTTTCACCATCGACACCGAGACCGCCGAAACCGGGCGCCAAGAAGCCGCCCGCCTTTCGCATGGCAGGATCTGCCGCTCTTCCAAACCTCCTTGCAATGATGGGTCACGGTCCAAACGTGTGCCTTCTCGGTGAAGGAGTCCGGATAGCAATTGCAGGACAGCACTTCTTCTCCTCGATTCACATCCGAAACTCGAACCGGTTTGAGGGGGAGCGGAGTGAAACGGCTCGGTGTGAAAGTAGATTGCTCCAAGTAGCACCCTACACTTTGTGGTTATCAAGCTAGTGAAGATCCTGGGATTAAGCCGGGCAGTCAAGGCTGAACCTGAAGCACGCGCACTCTCCGCCCCAGACGTCCTGAAGGACATGTTGATGACACGGAGGTGGGCAAGGTGCGTCTACGTCGAGAGCGTCTACGACGAGAGCGTCTGCGGCGGGAGCGTCTGCGGCGGGTGCGTCTTCTGCGGCGACGACGCCGGCGCCGGCGCCAACCTTGAGAGTCGGAGGCCGATGACTCGCCTCAGACAGAGACATGGCTCACTTAATGTGTTTTTGGTCTGAAGGGACTTTCCCTATGACTCACTAACATGTAAGTGGAAAACCACCTGCCAAGGGCCATGTTAGCGAGTGGGAGTGTACTTGACATTTCAACCAAGTCATGGCAGTAATCAAATGGAAGGGATGGAGTTCGGGATGGAATTCCCCTTGGCTTCTGATTACTTGAAGATGTATATAGGCGCTCTTCGTGGTGGAGCGACCATGCTCACGTGGGCGGTTTGGTTGGCAACTTCCGGCCTTCTTCCAAGAGCGACATGGAGTGATCCTGGATGTCCACATGCATGTTTCCATCCTCAGATTCTTGCTCTCCAGTCTCAAAGTCCTTGACGCCCTCTTCATCTTCATCCTCCTCGGCCAGATTGGAATCCATTATTTGTTTTTCTGCCACGGACGTGCCATGGCACGGGATTTGATGATCTCTAGGGATGTCCAGAAACGGAATCAATTCCCTTTGCATTGTGTTACCAGCAAAGAAACAGCCAGGAAATTCACTTCTACTTGCAAGGATGGTGTAAGCCACAAAAGTAGAAGGTGACTCTTACGGTCGTACGTAGTTCCAGTTGATTTAGATCTAACTATTTAGACCTCTGGCGTTCACACACTTGCTGCAAAACGCTCCCAAGACCCATCCTGCGCATCTGCTGTATCTTCGGACTCTTCGTCCACATCCTCAGTCTCTTCTGCCGACTCAAGGAGATTCTCTTCTGATTCATCATCCTCATCACGAGCCTTGCCCACAGCATCCAAGCTCACCTGCAAGTGGTTTTCCCGACCACTCCAAATCCGCCCGCGCCGAAGGTGCTGAAGCATTTTGTCGGCTCGCATACTCACGCTAGAGTTGCTAGATAGCATACCGGTTACCTGAAGTTTTAGCTTTGCGGGGGGGATTGACATCCTGTGTGCTTGCCCCTGTGAAGACCGACCCAGACAGACCGACCGAGACCGAAACAGACACACACTCTCCGTGCGGGCAGCTTCGACCGCGAAGCGGTGTCAAACTTGAGGCCGAGGGTAGGTGACGAAAGCTAGCAGGGGTGCATCCGGACTGGTGGGACATCAAGCGGAGTGAGGCAAATGCTCATGAGGTAAAACGTTGTGAACATGTAAGACACACAAACAGCAATGACACAGCCAACCTTAGAATTGAAGTCCCCGATAATTAAGGAAGCGTGGCTGGACTTTGCCACACTGTTCGATGCATCCGATGTGTTCACGAACCTGTGAGCTTGTTGAATCTGTTGCACCGTATCCCGGAGGAGTTAAGCCAAAGTGGATGCCATAAGAGATGCCCGAGAGGTGTCCCAGAGGCGTCCCAGGGGGGAGTTGAACCCCCCGGGGGGGGGAGGGGGGGTGAAAGAGTGACTAGGGCGTACACGGTAGAGGTGCAGACCGCTAGTGTCTTTTATGCGCAGAGTCTTATCCTCTTGCTCTTTGAGCCTTGAAGCAGTCAAGTATGGACACACTATATCGGCTGTTGGAGTGGAACCCTGTACAGGTAGGCTCTACTTTTCAGCAGGCACAAGATTCATGTCCACTCCTAGCTGATTGCGTATGTCGCACACTCTTTTTCTACTGCAAGGCTAAAACAGTCCAGCTAGCTCTAGCAACTTAAAAGAAAACTACGGTGCCATGTACTTACCTAATCCAGTGTGTTTCACACTATAGAGAAGGTAATCTCAAAGCTACTAAATACAGTGAGGGAGCAATAGCTGACTCACCTCAAGTACAAAATCAAAACGATAATGTACCTCGGCTGGAGACTGCATTTTTCGCAGGCGGAGATACCATGTACCGGCGCTCACTAGCTCCTTATGGCCTGAGCTAAATCAACAAAAAGGGAAAGCGGCTTCTTCTCTACAGAGACCTATAAACAAATCAAACGACACTCGCGCAACAAGGAAACAAAAAATTCAAGACCGCACAATGCAATGAATTAAGATGCCTTGCAAAATGCAAGGAGCGTACGGTCCGAGGAATAGTCTTCTCGTAAGGTGGTCTCGACCGCTTTCTTACACAGACAAAAATTCAACTGCATCAAAAGGACTCTCTCACATTGACATCAAAAACACATGGAAGGAGACATCAGCAAATGTATGTACAAAAAAATCTTGCACTACAATTGCAAATCATGAAATGACTTAATCATCAACCATGACTGGTTGTCCATTAGAGGTCACCTCATAAAGAGCGGCTGTGGTATTTATCATCAGTTCTGAAAAACTGTCCATATCTACCTGCTAAAGCGTATAAACCTGGAATGCAGGAGTATCTTCTTTTACAAAAAGTTTCTCCTGGTTGCAAACCAGAGTTCATTAAAACTTCAGCCTGGCAACTTAAAGTCAAGCATGGAAGCAAAGTATCAACTGTGATCAGAAGTATCTTCACTTCCTAGCCATCATTTAAAAGTCAGTCCCCGCTCAGAAGTTATGCCGCTGCAGTCGATGAGGCTGCTTGTTCAGAAGTTTGCGGCCTTCCTTTCCTTTTATTCTCTTTCTGTCTCTCCTTCCTCCGCAGTTCGCCTCATGAAGAGTTGCTCCCATGCGATACTGTCTTCTGTCTCCAGATGAAGCGGAAGCTGGTCTGAGTGAAATAAACATTGGACCATGACTGTCCTCGTCAGTGGGCCTTGAGCACATAACCTCCGTGTCAATCATAGCAAAGTTCTCTGAAAAATTACAGATGAACTCCTTCGTGCTCACTGTGGAATTTTCATATGCCTCTTCACTCATCGAATGACCCCATTCAACAATGGTAGACAAACATGTATCGCCAAGCTGTGATCCTTGGTATTCTTCCTTTTCAACAGTAGAATATTCTTCCCAGAGTTTATCAAAATAAACTTCACACTTCTTGAGGATCTGTGAAGTTGAACTGTAAAATGTTCTGGGAATAGGTGCTTTGATACCAGGATCTGCTTTTACACGAGCTTCTGAAAACCTGCGGATCCAATGCTGCATGGTGCTGTAATAGTAATTAGCCATTGGCTGCCTTTTGTACCCAGCCAGTCTGTAGGCTAAACTATTTGCATCACCAGAAATGATGTCCACCTCATAGACAAAACACTCGTAAAGCATCAATGCTGTCTGTTCTCCTGTCAGCAGGTGGGCATCCACAGCACGGTGTGTATCTACATGATAATTACAGACTCTGATGGTATGCATGTTCGCTCGAGTAAGTGGAACACGCTTGTCCTCAGGACCATAGTCATCAAATTCAAAGTCTGCATCCTTGAAATCTTGACGAGGCCTTGTTTCTCCAAAACAAATCTCGTAGATAGCCCAAGTTACATCACGCTGTTCACAGTGACCAAGTTCTTGATCATGTCCAGCAATGGTCTTGACATATCCACCTGGTGCTAATCTAGCCATCACTGCAAGATTCTCCCAATCATTGAAACAAACTGTCCAATTCTTTTGCTCAATAAATTCCTTGGCAGGAACAAGAAGATGAGCTTCCTGGAGAATCACGACATGTGCACGTAGAAAGAAGAGCATGTTGAAGAAAAGGTTGTTCTCAAATTGCTCGTATTGAAGTGACATGGCGCTCTGTTTGCGTGGCCTCATTGCACTATCAAGTCCTTGGAGAAACCTTGGTGTGGTGTACTTCTGACCACGAACCATGTTACCATAGTTCCAGGATAAAAATGTCAAGGACTCTGAGCTGGCCGATAGGTTAGTTCCATATGGATCTTCTATTCTTCCTTTGAGGAACCTCCTGCACAGCTCTTCATAGAAGGTGACAAAGTCCCAACTGGGTCCCTTGGGACCATATGATTCCAGTTCCTTCTTTAGTTCCTTCTTTGTATCCTCCAATTCTTCTCGAGCATGTTCTGCCCTTTCAAGGGCCTTTGGATCGACCTGATACTTGCCATCCAAATGAATGATGCGATCATCATTGATAAAGAATCTCTTCAAATCATGCTCTGGTTCATGTTCATAACAATCAGGTGGAGGTACTGGACAGACAATTCGAATGGATCGAACAAAATCATCTTCGTTGATCCTCGACTGATAATGAGGATGGGAAATCTCACCTTTTCTGAAACAAACATGGTTCAGCAATCTTGCGTGAGTTTCCCTGAAGCATAGTTGATACAAGCCAATACCTGGAACTCCTGTAAGTTCTCCAAGCAACCTCAAAGGTGAAGTATGCAACTCATAGGTATTGTCAACTTTTGTTGTATCCTTTTCAACAACTACTTCAGATGGAAAAGATTCTTGGATTTCAGCCTCCAATTTCTTCTCTCCATCATCCTCTCTGACCTCTCTTATCTTCTTCACCGCCTTCTTCTTCTCTTCCATGGTTGCATCATCCTGAACTTCTTCATGAAAATGAGGATCAGGAATTTTATTCAGGCGGCTCTTCTTAGATTTCGGCAGACGTGGAGTATCATCAAGGTTAGCATCCATCTCACCTGATGGTAAGTTCGATGCAGTCGAGTCCTCACCTATCTCTCTTGATAGAAAGTGTGGTGTTGACTTCTCCTTGGCTTCCTCCTGGTCCACTTCCATCTTTGGTTCCTCTGAAGGAAAAACACCTGCATTCTCATCAAATAATTCTTCTTCCTTTTCAGGTTCAACTGCAGGATCTTCTTCAGGAACTTCCTCTTCCATATCCTCATCTTCCAGAAGTGTAATACTTCCAGTATAGATTCTACCAGTGATAGTGGAGACTCTTGTGTGAGGAGGAACTTCTTCACCTGCCTCAAAGGCTTGTTCTGCAGCATCTTTGTTGAGCAAGTCCTCTACAAGATTTTCTCCCATGGTTCTTGGAAGAGGTCCTGAGGTCTCATGAAAATCTGTCCTCTCTGAACTGAAAACTTCTGTTGCCTTCTCATTGTCCTTTTTGTCCTTGAAAAGATGAGTAATCTCCACTGCTTCTCCTTGTAGCACCTGATCACTCTCTCTATACTTGTCGACAATGGAGCGCCATACTGGCACATTATCATCATCAAAATCAAGCTCCATATCATCTGCCAACAGGTATGAGATGTTTTGAGCTGCCTGTTCTTCTTCTTCTTCTTCACGTTCCTTGGCATGCTCCTCATCCTTCTGGATCTTGAAGATACCCTTCAGGATGTCTTGTAGTACCTTTAAGTTCAGCTTCGATGATGGCTCATACGTTCCTGAACTTACAGGCTCAACTACAACACGAGAGCAAGAAATCGCCTCCAGAAACTTGGAATTGTATTGGCGTTCAAACTCTTCCTTCTTGATCATCTCATACAAGGGATCAGAAACTGCAACACGCGCTTGAACATATTCACGAAGTTGATAACATGCATGTTGCACAAATCTACTGTTGGAGTTGTGAAGAAAACTCTCTAAATGATTCCTGTCAAGGTCAATCAAATACCACACAACTCTTGCAGAAAAACGGAATTTCTTGAAGTTCATAGCAAAATGTGTATGATACTTCTCTGGATTCACTTCTGCTTGTAAGGCGGCCTCTGAAGTCTTGTAAGCTGGGAGATTTGTGTCTGGATCCAAATTCATAAACTCTTCCCACAAGATCGAATGGTTGAGAACCCACTTGGGAAGCACCTTGATGAAAAAGTCACAAACAAGTTCAGACAAAAGGTGCATGACACGGCCAATCTCTTCCTCCTGCTTGAAACGATAGTGCAATTTGGCAAACAAAGGATTGTTAAAGGCTTCCTCCACTGTGTTGCCAAAATTCTCCCACTGAGGTTCTGGAATGCCAAAGTTCCAACCCAGCAATTTGGGATCTCTGCACATATCCAAGAAGCTTGA